CAAACTATCTTGGACAATCAAGTTAAGAATATAAGCACAACAACACAAGTGAAACAACTTTTCATCTAACATAAGTGCACTAATGTTAAACTTACTCAAGATAATCTCAACGAAGGGATCATTAGTAGATAAATTATCAACTGTCATTGTTGACAACTTTCTATCAATATTCCAATCCATAATGCAATCAATTAAAACATTAAAAAGTGCTTTCGAAGTGTGTAGACAAAGGCACATAAACAAACATAAAATGCAACATTAATTTACTAGTAAGAACAAGTCTCAAATATTTGTTTTAAAATCAAATTACCTTGTTTGTAATAAACTAATAATACAAAAAGAACTTTGACAATGTACTAAAAAAATTAAATTTTAAAGTAACATGTTGAAAACTAAATACCTTATAATCCGTTTTTGCATCTCCAAACTATCATTAATGAAATGCGTTACGATAGCCATAAAGCCTTTCCTCTATTTGCTAGTTGTTTACATATCAGTAGTTATTACAACCTTACTCGGATTCTTCTCTAAAAAGTGCAATGTTTTTTATTTATCATAGTCATATATCTTCAAGATGTCACTTTTGATAGTATTTCAAGAAGGAACCTTAAACAGAGGTTGAAGACCAAATGTGGGTATTCATGTAAAATTATCATGGTGGGTAGGTCTTTCCTTGAAGATTTTTTATCAAAATGATAATTATTAACACAAACTTTCCCATCAGCCTTCCTCTGTTCTTTTACTATAACATGTTGCCTTATATCTTCATAGCACCTTCTTGGACAAGTTTTATAATGGTCATGCAAATAAGTTGTCCAATTTTTACTATTGCCTCTAAGCTTTTTATGACAATAATTACACTCCGCCTTATCCTCCCCATTTACTTTTATCTTTTTTAAGTGATTCCAAACAATAGATGTTAATTTCCTTTTTACACCAACATTAGCATTGGGGGCTTGATTAGGTGAATTTGAATCATCAAATAGAATTTCATTAGAATTTTGAACAGGAGATTCAATGAATGGCTCACTTGGAGAACCAATTGGAGTTGATAAAGCTAGAGTTTTAGAGTGTTCAAGTTCAACCCCAATTGAAAATTGATTGCTACCAATAGGTGTCCCTGATTTAGAACTTTCAGCTTGAATTTCCATATTTTAAAACTGGAAATGAAAGTTAGAAAGCAAAAAATCCCATCAATTATAAATATAAAAATAAAAAAAAGACACCAAACATGAATTAAATAATAAGTATATATGTATATGATGACCTTTGATTGATGAATATCACTACCAACTTATATCAAAATATCAAATACAAAAACACAAACCCAATGTGAATTAAAAATTTTCAAAATATGCTAAAACTAAAAATTAGAATGACATGTCTCTATTCCTAGTTGCTTTTCAATTCAGTGGTAATTCAAATTATAGAAATAATAAACAATAAAACTAACATTTTGATAAAATAACATATGGTAATAGGGATAGGGAGATCTGAAGAATTTTTCCGTAGCTATCTCTTTGCATTAATCGATAAATCGGAAATGAGTCTGTACTTACAAACTAACATTTTGATTTCCGATTTTTGAAATCCATCTTGATTGTCTATTCACAAATATGACTTATCTAACAACCTAGAATTGAGGGTTAAGTAGCATATTTTCTTGATCTGTTAAACCTTCCCTTCACTTGGAATATATTCATGGGTTTAATAAAATAAAGTAAAAGTAATATGTTGTTGATGCTAGAATATTGCCCTTCTATCTTCTGCATTAAACATTGGGATTCACTTGTAAAGTTTGTTGATGTGATAGGCAATCAAGATACTCAATGATGGCATGCAATGTGACATTATTATTAAAATTGGTGGTCTCATCCGCAAGAAGGTATGTTCTATTTTGTCTTTCACCATTAATTGATATGGTCCTTAATGTTTTTTGCTTTCTTTTCTATCACTTTTCCTCTCTTTTTTTTGGAATTTATGATGAATTGTTCATGTTCTTTTTTTTTTTCCGGAGGCTATGAACATATTTAAGGAAGGCATTAATGCCTTCTTAGTTGTATACATTAGCAACTTTTTGGGGAAGTTTGTTGGATGCTTAAAAATTTTTTTGGCCTTTTTTTTCCCGCCAAGTAACTATCATTTTATTAAGATTTAAGAAAGAGAAAAGGGTGATACATGCAAAAGCCAAACAAGGGTATAGGAGAATCTACAAAAATATGAGCATTCCTCCACAAAGATAAACCAATTTATGTATTTAGGCTCTCCAACACAACACAAATGCCCTATAGAAAAGTCAAGATTAGAAAGTCTACACTCTAAAGGGACCCCTTCTCTAGCTTAACATATTATGGACAGTAACCTACTCTAGTTTTATGGACAATATCCTCATCTGTTTTCCTTCATTATGGATGATTGATCCAAGTTTTCAAAAGTGATGAGTTTGGAGTATCTCCTTATCACCAATTATATTGAAATTGTAGTGTACTCTGTCTTGGTCTGACTTATCTTAAAAACCTTTTAAATCTAAAGCATTTCATCTCTATAACTATCATTCTAGGTTTACATTTAGCCCATTGTAAGTCCTATTAATGAATACTAAGAGAAAGAGAGAACCATTGCGAGTTGCGGTTGGTGACTATAGATGAAGGAAGAACTAGGGTTTTGGTTTCAAACGCCACCTCTGCTCTATAGCCTATTTAGTTCTTTCTTCTTTGAGTCTTTCTTTGTCCTCTGTTGAGTGGTAGTCGGCAATGATAGACGTTCGATGTCCGACGGGCGACGGCGATCGACGACTACAGACGAAGGAAGAACTAGGGTTTTAGTTTCAGCCACCACCTCTGTTTTGTAGATTGTAGTCTGTTCAGTTCTTTGAGACTCTTTTTCTGTCCTCTGTCGAGTGGTAGTCAAGAGATAGTCTTGAGAGTTTTTTAGAATTTTAGTTTTGTCTTTTAATCTTTTACTTTTTTGAGTTTTTATAATTTGTATAATGTTTAATTAATTATTAATTGAAATTTGTTTATTGTTATAATATTATTTATAATTTATTAATCAAATAAATGAATAATATATAATATAATAATATTACGATATAAATATTATATATATATTTATCGGGGTCGGGGTAGGGCAGGGATTGCATTCCCCACCCCCGTCCTTGAACCTGATCGGGGATTTAGTGATAGCCCCATCTCCGACCCTGACAAAGTACTCCCCATACCCGATCCCGTTGGGTCGGAGAGCCCAGGTACCCATCGGGGATGGGGAAAATTGCCTCCCCTATATATTATATGTATATTATATATTTTTCATATATTTTATATTATTCATATATTAAAAATTAATAAATATGCATTATATATAAATAAATATACATTTATTTATTTATAATATATATTGTATTATTTATTATTTAAAATGTAATATTTTATATTTATTTATAGTTTTTATTATATAATTATATATTTTTATAGGAAAAATCTATGATACGGGAAAGATATAATATGGAAAGAGTTTTGACCAATCAAAACCCACCCATGAATTTTGATAAATGACACCTAATTCGCTACCACGTTTATGATTCCAATTTATTGGTCAATTATTTTTTTCCGATATCATATCTTTTCCATATCATAGTCGAACCCATTTTTATAATATATATTATAAATATAAAAAATCGAGAAATTGACAAATTGAACTAATGGTTAACCGACCAGTCAACCGATTAACCAATTGGCTTTAGTTCGGTTTTGATTATTGGTTTTCTAGAAATTGGTAGTACTGGTTCGGTTTCAAAAATAGGCCACTAAGCTGTGAGCCTTGAACCAAGGATTGAAATATCGATACGTTCGATATGGGGCATATCGTATCAGTATTGTTAGTGTCCGGCACGGGGTACACTACAACTGGAGATGTATCCTACCAGTCGTGCGCATCGGGCCGATACGGTGGGTATCGGTTCGTATCGCACTGTATCGGTTGATACATATTGATATAGACCGATACGTTATCCACGAGAAGCGAATGTGCATACTCTTCTAAAAAAGAAAGTTGTAAGGGTTCAAACTCACGTCAAGAGCTAAGGGAGAACTTAACATCCACACCTATAAACCACTATGCCACTCGATCTTGTGTTTATGAATAAATGAATATAACTTTTTATTTCTTTATTACTCAAATGCAGTTCAAATAAATAATACATATTATAGTTAACTCCAACTAAAAAAAAGGTAATATTTAAAATTAGCATTTTATTAAATAATAGAAATGAATAATATATCAAATCCACATTTATATCAAAATATTATTTGAATCTCAAAAAAAATTATAATAATATAATATCAATGAGAGAATAATTACTTTAATACTTAAAATTTATAAATCTAAACATGATATATATATATATATTAATTTACATTACATAAAATCATATTTATTATTTAGAAAATAAAGAAATTGTTTAGAAAATATTCAAGAATATAATCTTAAATTGAACCTATCAAATATACTAATCTACATTTATACAAAAAAAATATTTTTAAATAGAAAATTATAGGAATAAAAATATAATAATGGAATAATCATTTTAAAAGTAAAAAATTATGAATTTACATATGATATGTATCTAAGAAATTTTAATTGATTTTATATATTTTAAGTTGAGATTGTACATTTTATAAATTATTAATGAATATTTTATTTTACATAGAGAATTTAATATTTGGTTGATCTCTTTGTTAATGTAAAAATGTAAAAACATCTATGCATCATATTAATTGTAATATATTTTTTATATACATCATTAAAATATACATTTTTTCATATATGTCATATGTTTTCAAAACGTATCCATATATTTTCAAAACTTATTTATATCCGTACATGTATTTATCCGATACTCCATACCAATACTTTAGTCATTAGTAGCGACCTTACTTATTTGTACCATCTGTGCCGATAAGACTTAAAAGTGAGAATCGCTTACAATGCGGTTAGCTTTCGCGCTTTTTTTTTTCTGTCGAAGATTTTGATAGAAGCGAGGGGTGAAATGGCAGGTGCGGTTCCTTTCTTCAACTTGGCTCCCGATTTGAAGGTCTCAAGGCTCTGCTTAGGTTTGTAGTTCTCTTACTGTTACTGCTCTTCGTAGGAGCGTGTTTCTGAATTCTGAATTACAGACACCGTGGAAATCGTCTCCGAATTCTGGTTGTTACAGGAACCATGACATTCGGAGAGCAGAATTCGTTGCAGCAGTCCTTCCAACTTCTCGATGAAGCGTTTGACAACGGAATTAACTTCATTGATTCCGCAGAAATGTAATCTATGCAGTTACTTTTTCAGTGCTTCTCAGCTTTGGGTTCCCTTGGCTTCATTGATTTCGAGTTACCTTGTATATTTCCCTACTTGGTTTAGGTATCCTGTGCCTCAGCGTGCGGAGACCCAAGGGAGAAGTGAGGGATACGTTGGGCGTTGGATTAGAGAGAGGAGAATTTCTCGGGATCGTGTCGTCTTGGCCACAAAGGTCACTTTATAACTTGTTGTTTAAATTGCTTCTCCTGTTATCATCATCTTCATTTTCTTTTCATATTTGTATAAAGTCTTCTCGCTCTACCATCTAGTTTTCGGTTTGTTATTTGTGATGATTTTCCTGTAAATTGCTTATCTTCATTTCTGTCCAAAGCAACTCAGTGATCGTTCCGATGCCACTTGTTCCGGAGTAAGATTCCTAGGTGTTGAAACTTACAATCCTGTTTTGTTTTCATGTTAGTCAAAATGTTTGATACTTTGATATAGCGCGTTAATACATGTATTAGGTGAAATTCTAGTTTTATATTAAGATGACTCCCCACTCATGGTTTTGGCAACGGATTTTTTTTGGGGGTCCAATTTTAGCTTTCAAATGTCTTGGCTATAGATGATTATAATGGTGCTTGATATAGGTTGCTGGACCGTCTGGGCAGATGACTTGGATTCGAGGTGGACCAAAGTGTTTGGATGCTAGCAACATTACTGAGGCCATTGACAATAGGTCGGCTTCCATATTCTTCTGTTCAAAACTTTTATTTATAGTAGAAGTGTAGGGAAATCTCTTCATATTCTGAAATGATTTGTTATGCAATGTACCATGATTAGTGTATATGTAAAGCACTAGTGTTCCATTCATATGTCGAATGCGGTTAGCTTCAAATTCGCTTTATTAGAGTGACTTTATCCTTGCATTTTTCTCTCTACAAAACAGAAAGAATATATTAAGAATGTAAAAGCAGAAAGAAAATTTGAGGAGATGTCCTAAAACGCAAAGAGAATATATCAAGCCTGCTATTTCTTCTTTAATTTTGCAAGCAATTGACAGGGGAGTTTGTCAGAACCCATGTTGCTGACCTTTTGTCTTGTCCTTGCCTATACAACAGTGAATGATGTGCAGGATTTATCTTTGAAAATTCCCTTAGCATAGGCTCTGCTGATGCCATGATGACTGTACTTATCACCATTACTTCCTTGGTCCACAAATTAAACTGGATTTATATTGCAGCTATTACAGTCTCAGGATACATTTGATTTATAGTTAAGCCTTACCATTTGGTATGTTTTGGTATATTTTTCCTTTCGGCCTACTTTGAGAAAAGTACAAATACAAATATGTACAGCATGAATACATACAAGATACAAGGTTTTACACTCTACATATTTGTATTTCTATTCCTTCCAAACTGAGCCTTCGGTGCAACTTGAATCTAGTCCAGCATATGCAGTTGTTACATGTACCATAGTCTCTAGTAACAAAGAGGGAATGACTTAGCATTTCCCAGATTTGTAAATATAATACTGTGATTATGCCTGTAGTTGTCAGGCACCAAGGTGAAGCTAGGCAACCATGGAATGCCTAGATGACTAGTTGCTTGCCTAGACAATGAGTTTTGAAAATAAAATGCCATCAAATCCTAGGCTAACTTCATAGTTTGCACGGTAACCAGCAATCATCTACACTAAAAATTAACAAAAATACTCATCAAATAACTTCACATTTCATATCAAAACACATAAAATCATCATATTCATAACAAGAAATCCTTTAAGCACATAAATTTTAACTTTTTTATATTTTAAAATAACAAATGTCACAAAAAAGAGCCAAAAGAATATATCAATGCAATGGATAATGCTTCATTCAAATTTCCGCACTTGAATCTAGTGTCCATAAAGAATTTGAGTTTTATGCTCTTAATGATAGTTAACTGAATTGATGCAGTTTACTGCACATGCGAACTGATTACATTGATCTTTATCAGATCCATTGGCCTGACCGGTCAGTACTTTTCTCCTGTTCATTTTGTCCTTTTTCCTTTATTCTTTTCACCGGGGGGGACTAACAACCCAGTGGTTTATTTAGGTAAGCACAACATTGTACCTTTTAGCAATCTGTCCTTTACATGTTCAATCAATATTGCCATTTCTGAGGTTTTCCATATTTGTGCCTTTAGCTATGTTCCCATGTTTGGAGAAACTGATTATGATCCAACTCGGCAGCTCTGCTCAGTGCCTATAGAAGAACAACTTCAAGCTTTAGGCAGAGCAGTTGAAGCTGGCAAGGTAAACTAATTAAACAATGAGTTTGGCTTGTATGGATATATTATTTTGTTTGATTTTTTTGCTTACATTTCAATGTCCTGCCTGCAGATCAGATATATTGGACTCAGTAATGAAACACCATATGGTTTGATGAAGTTCCTTCAACTTGCCAAAGATATTACTGGCCACCCTAAGATAGTATCTTTGCAGGTCTTTTGTGGATTCACTTTGGTTTAGAGAATATACATTCCATTTTCTATTTTCTTGCTTCCCTCTTTCTCTTCCACATGCATATTGCTAAAGTAAAACTCAATCTATCTTTTTGATAGAATTCATACAACTTGCTTTGCCGAAGTTTTGATTCTGGACTGGCTGAGTGTTGTCATCATGAGAGGTAATCTACAATTTATAAGTTTCCAAAGTTGTCATGATAAAATGACGTGACTTAAGAGGGATGACCTGAGCAAATCTATTTTTGATAATGGGTGCACATCCCTAATCATTAGTCAAAATGATGTTAATGTTTACCACTATAAACATGATCTTTTATACTTTTGCCTGAGGATGTTGTGAGTTTATCAAAAAAATGCAATGTGCCCAAATCAGTCCCCATGACTTGATTTATATGCACTTCTGTTCTTCGTGAAATTTGTGTAAGATTGACCTTTTCCTGGAAGGATGGTGATGGGGGTTGCTAATTATTAAGAGACATTTTCTCACCTTTCAGATGCAATATTGGCAGAGAGTTATGAAGAGAAAGAAGTTTTAATTCTAGTATACAGGTGGCTATAGAGAGAGAAGTTACAACATGGTGGCCATTGTTTCATTGCTTTTACTTTTATAGGTAGATGACAATATTATTTCGTTTATACTGGTGCCTATTTTTGGGCTAGAATCTAGATTGATTGTGGGTCTAGAGATAAAATATCATAGCTTCATCACTCTTGAAATGAAATCCTGTATATCTCAATTACAGAATCAATTACAGGATAAGGTCAAATGATTAATGAATTAAATCAAACATAATATACCATTAAAATAAGAAAGTTCCAGAAAAGCTACCTATTTCCAAACACCATGCATTTAGTGCCAACTGCCAAGTTCAAGTATCTTGATTATTGAGCGATTACTTATTGACACAATTAAATTATTTTCTTCTCTATTGTTTTTTACAACATTTTTGAATTCTTCATTAAATGTGGTTATTGTGTGGTTGGATTTGAGATTTCTATTCCTTGGTTGTGATAGGATAGCAATGGTTGCATCTTCCTTCTGTTTTACTTCAGTGGCATTTTTTCTGTAGTCATTTTTAATAGAGGATACAACTTGCTCTATTATTGAGAATGTCATTGTTCCATACTATGTATTTTTGGCATTTCATCCCCTCAGTACAAAGCCTTTCCTTAATGTTCTAACATTTATTTCAATGGACATTTGTGAGTGTGGTTGGTTTATTTGGTTATAGAGGTGAGAATTTTAAGTATTGGTTGCTAGCTAGCAGAGTTGGTAAGTTCCCTGTGTGTTCAAATACCTTACCTACCAGATGGTTGGCACCTTGCAGCCATTACCTACTTAACTGACAACAAAACCAAATAAACAAATCATCATCACCCAAGCCTTATCCCAACTATATGGGGTCAGCTACATGAATCCTGTTTCACCATTCTATTTTGTTTAATGCCACCGAAAAGTAAATAAACAAATAAATTCATAAATAAATAAAAGAACCACTTATTTTTATTTCGTAAAAGTTTGCCTTTTCAGTATTCTCTGTTAATAATATTGTTGTAGATACTTAGGCTATATATTCAGTTAAAATGTTAAATGCAGCCTTACCCTTGGTGATCTTATGATAATTTTGCTAGAGGGTACAATGTAAGGGTATTGAGTGGGAAAAACACCCTAGTGGAGGATTCAGTATGCTAATACACAGTGCCTCCTCCTGGGACCTGACAATCTAAATGGAATTTATCTTTATGATTTCGGTAGATAAATATGACATGAAGGCCACTTTTTTGTTCATTGGATGGCTTGGAACTCTATGGTTTAATATTTCTCAAATTGTTCATTTCTTTTATTGAAGTTCAGAAATTTATTGCATATTTTCCTTTTCAGGATCAGCTTATTGGCTTACAGTCCATTGGCAATGGGCATCCTTTCTGGGAAGTATTTATCTCCTAGTGGAGGTCCAACTGATGCTCGGATGAATCTTTTTAGAGGTCAATTCTTCTTGTTTATTTTCTTAAAAATCATTTTTATATTTCTTAGGGTGATGAAAATTGAACCCATTTTAGATGTTAGGCTTGTGTTCCCAAATTCATTGGCAAATCACAATTCAATCATTTCATTCCAAGTAACATCCCAGAATTTTATGTTGTCTTTGGATCTGTGGTTTCTATTGTGGGACTTAACAGAATGGGCTTTGGCCCGTTTATGTTATAAAGTGTTTATGTCTTGTTGGGCTCTAATGTTTTGTTCTGTTATTAAGTGTAAATGGGACTTATCCTTCTTATATCTTTAAGTTATATTATCTCTTACTAATGGGGGGTAATTTTGTCAATCCATGTTATTTTGTTGCCCTAACATAAATAACATTTTGAAGGGCTGGAAAGATGCTGGCACCCCATTTTTTATTGTATCAGAGTTGTAATTTGCTCTGCTTCTGCTCGTCTACTCTCTTCTTCATCTCTTCTCTTTTCTCAAACCTTTTTATTATTGTTGTTAGAACAACAAGAGGGAGTGCTACTTTTGGTCGTGGTAAACTGAAGTAGTTTCTAGGGTTTTTTCCTTGGAAAAATCTCCAAGGAGGCCCAGAACAGCAATTGTATGCCCAAGTGAGGAAAGAAACTGTGGAGCAGTCATGTGGACTGCTGGAGAGACCTAGTTAACAGGTCTAGCTGCTGGATTGTAAGGAGTATCAGTCCAGGGGATTATTGTTCCAGCTGCTGGACTGTAAGTAGCATCAGTCCAGGAGATTCGATTGCTTCCTAACTTAGTTTTCTGAAGTTTCAGCAAAGAGAAGTATTATTTGACTTGTTCTACTCTCAAATAACAGTCTTGGGTGAGTTCGATATGCCTTCCAACACAAGTGAAGTCTCATCCGGAGATTTCAGGACCGTAGACAATGTTGTTCATCTTGGGAATCCCATGGTACAGATTACTAATGTGAAACTAGAAGAATATAACTATAGGGAATGGGTCATTTCAGCAAGATGGTCCATAATGAGCCATGGACTGCAAGGTTACATTGATGGGAAAATTAAGGAGCCTAAGGAAGATGACCCTAGTTACAGAAATTGGTGTAGGGAAAATGCAACTGTGATGTCATGGTTGCTAACCTCTATGACTCCTAAAATTGCAAGGATTGTTTAGCACTATACCACGGTCCATAAGATTTGGGAAAAACTGCATAACACCTACGATCAAAAGAAAAACATTGCAAGAATTTACAGGTTGAATCAAGACATTTTTGGGTTGACTCAAGGAGGCATGACTATTGCAACCTATTTTGCTACACTAGAAGGTTTGTGAGAAGAACTTGATCACCATTTGGTTCTTGAGTGGGACAGCACCAATGACAAAGAAAGGCATGGCAAGCAAATTGAAGAAGGAAGGATATTCAAACTTCGTGCTGGCTTAGATAACTCATATGAAAGCATTGGAGCACAAATATTAGGGAGAGATGAACTTTCAAATTTGCATCATGTGTTTTATCTAATCAGGAATGAAGAAATGAGGAAGGAAATGGGAATTGGTGTTTCTCTTCAGCCTAGTGAACAGTCTGCCCTTGTTTCCAATAGCTCTAAGGGTGAAAAAGGGGTGGATAAGAAGAACTTGAAGTGTTCTCATTGTGGGGGAGAGGGGCATACTAAAGATACTTGTTAGATTCTTCATCCATACTTGAAACCAGCAACCTTGAGGAAGGACAAGAAGCCAAACAGGAGTCCTAACTATAGATCAGATTATGTTGCCAGTCCGAATGTTGTAGATGGTGTTTCTAAGGGTAACAATGGTAACAGCACTAGCTCTTCCAATATGGGATAGACCTCCACTTCACCAAATAACTTCCTAGAATTCACAGCCCAAGAGGTAAATATCCTCATATCCCGGTTGAAACAATCTTCCATTGCTTCATCCTCATTTGCAAAATCAAGTATAACTCCTGCCCTTGGTGCTATTCGGTCCTCTTCATCAAACATTTGGGTTATTAATTCAAGAGCTTTTGAACACGTGACAAATTCATCCTCATTATTTACTACTTACCATCTCTCATTTGGGCATAAGGTAAAAATTGTTAATGGCTCTCTTTCCAAAGTTTTTGGAAAGGGAGACTGTTAGAGAATAAAACCTATTCAAGGACCTCACTTAATAGCTTAAGCTTTTAGGTTGAATGGTTCTCTGAGATGGATCAGAGCCACTTTGACCAAGTGGTCTAGTGTTCGATTCTCGTCACCCCCATTATAATTAATTAAGTTTCAGCACAAGGTATGGGTGGGCCTGTGCTGTCCACGCTTCAATCCCAATGGGCTTTTGTGTGAGGGGGCATGTTAGAGAATAAAACCTATTCAAGGACCTCACTTAACAGCTTAAACTTTTAGGTTGAATGGTTCTCTGAGAGAGACATTCAACTAGGAAGAGGAATTCTCCTCAAATCTGTCGTACATCTTCCATACTTCACTACTAATTTACTTTCTGCCTCTAAAATTACCAAAACCCTAGATTGTGTTGTAACCTTCTTTCCTACTCATTGTGTTTTCTAGGATCAGTTGACGAGGCAAATGATTGGGAGTGGTTGTGATGTTGGTGGCCTCTACTACCTTGATGAAAATACATGCTCAACTCTGAAAGCCTCTATCATTGGTAGCTATAACAAGGAGCCAAGCACAACTCTTTTCACTTGGCATGCTAGATTAGGTCATGTGGTGTGTTCATTGTTGAAAGTTTTGTTACCAGAATTGTTCAAAGATGTGTCTGTTGAAATTCTTTTTTATGATGTGTGCCCGTTGGCAAAACATTAAGGAAAGCTATCCAAGTTCTATTAGTAATGTCACTACCTTTTTTTATTTACTTCACTCTAATGTGTGGGGTCCTTCACCCATTGTTTCTATGGATGGTTATTGCTATTTTATGAGTTTCATTGATCATTTCTCAAGGTGTACACAAGTTTACTTTATGAAAGAATGTGAGGAAGTTCCTAGAATTACTATGATATTTTACAAAATGATTGAAACCCAGTTTGGAAAGAAAGTTAAGCAATTCAGGTCAGACAATGCAATTGAATATTTTTAAGAATACCTTGAACTTATTTTTTGAGGATGAAGGGACTTTACATCAATCCTCTTGCAGTTATACCCCACAACAGAATGGGGTTGTAGAGAGGAAAAATAGGCATCTTATGGAGACAACTAGTGCTTTGTTGTTTCAACACAAGGTTCCCAAGAAGTATTGGTCTTATGTAGTGCTTATTGCATCATATTTGATAAATAGGATGCCATCCAGGATATTTGGGATGAGGACTCCCTTTTTTGTTCTATGTCCTAATGATCCTATGTTCTCTTTACCACCAAAATCTTTGGTTGTGTTTGTTATATTCATGTTAAGGATCCAAAAAGAACCAAGTTGGATCCGAAGGCGATTCGGGGGGTCTTTTTGGGTTATTCACCTACACAAGGGATACAAGTGTTTTGATCCACACTTAGGGAGGAAATTTGTCACCAAAGATGTTACCTTTTGTGAGTCATAGTCTTTCTTTGAACCTTCCTGAGATCCTCTTCAGGGGGAGAATCGTGGGGTGGAAGAGAATTCCTCCGAAGTTAACTCGTTTGTCTTTGCTCCCACTCCCTTTCCTTCTCTTCCATCCTCTCCTTCTGCCCCTCACTGTTTTAATGGTCCTTGCCCTACCACTCCGGTTACTGTTGTGCATGAAGAAACAACTCCTACTTCACAAGATGATGAGGTTGCTCTTACTATAGAAGTTGAAAATATTATTGAAAGGAGATGAGTGTGTACTTGAGGAAAAGGAAGAGAGGCCCATCAGTTAATGACTACAACCAGTTAGATGTCTTTGAAGCTGATCAAGGTACTATCCCTGTTTTTTCTTACTCTAATTTGAATCTTCCCATTGCTTTGTGGAAACCTACTTGGTCTTGTACTCTTCACCCTACAAATAAGTTTGTCCCTTATTTCCATTTGTCTCTAGCATATTATTCCTTTGTTTTTGCCTTATCTTCCACTTCCACTCCTTCCAGGTAATTTGAGGTTGTTGCCAATCCTAAATGGAGGGAAGCAATGGATGAAGAAATGAAAGCATTACTAAAGGCTGGTACTGGGGAAGTGGTGGATCTACCTATTGGAAACAGCACTGCTGGATGTAAATGGGTGTATATTGTGAAACACAAGACCGATGGATCAATAGAGAGATATAAAGCAAAGGTTACTGGCAAAAGGATTCACACAAAAAGAGGGTATAGACTACGAGACATTTGCCCCAGTTGCCAAGTTGAATACCATATGGGTGTTACTGTCTCTAGCAGCTAACTATAGTTGGGAATTGCGCTAGTTGGATGTCAAGAATGCCTTTTTGAGTGGAGATCTTCAAGAAGAAGTCTACATGGATCCTCCAGCGGGCTATAACATGAGAGGGAAAGTATGCACGCTGAAGAAGCTTTGTATGGACTTAAACAATCTCTCTAAAGGTGGAAAGGTCACACTAATCAAAAGTGTATTAGCTAGTCTTCCAACTTACTTTATGACCCTTTTTCCTATCTCATCTGAGGTAGCAAAGGAAATGGAGAAAAAGATGAGAAATTTTCTTTGGAAGGGCTGGAAAGAGGCTCACAAGTATCATTTAGTGAGTAATTATAAAAAAAAAAAAGTATCATTTAGTGAGCTGGGGACAAATTTGCAAACCTCAATCACAGGGTGGGCTAGGAATAAGACATTTAAAGCTGTTCAATCTAGCTCTATTGGAAAGTTGGCTGTGGAGATTCTCAATTGAACCAAATAATTTGTGGAGAAAAGTGATAGAGGAGAAATATGGCCTAAGAAACAATGGGCGGGATACTGGACCACTCCCTCAAATGTATGGATGTGGAGTGTGGAAAGGAATATGTAAGGCAGTTAGAAAGTTCTCCAATTGCATTAGATTTAAAGTGGGATATGGAAGAAAAGTGAAATTCTGGTCAGACCATTGGATTGGTGACAGGTCACTCAGACAAGGAAGCCTTAGTAGCATATTCATTCAGGCTTCAGGAGAATAGAATGTGTTGGACTCCTTCCTTTGGAAGGAGCTTCAATGACTGGGAAATTCAGCAGGTTGCTGACCTTCTCTCTGTTACAAAGCCAACATCTGAATCTCCACTCCCAAGATGCAAAATTCTAAAGGGACCAAAACTGGTGTCTTCACAGTTAAATCCTTCTATTATAAGCTAGTGGGGAGGACTGAAGTTCCTTTTCCTAGTCAGGCCATTTCGGGGAATCTAGCTCCTTCAAAAATTAAGTTCTTTGTTTGGGTTGCAGCTTTGGAGAGGTGCTTGTCTAAGGAAATGTTGATAAAAAAAAGGCATGACCATTCCAGATCTTAGGTGTTGTTTATGCAAGAGGTGGAGTCTGTTGGGCATCTTTTCCTCTACTGTAAGTTTAGTTCTGCAGTATGGAGCCACTTTTTGATATCTCTGAATTTGAATTGGTGCATACCAGCATCAGTTAAAACTCTTTTGGAGGAATGGCAGGTTTCTAGACTTTCCAAAAAAGGGAGACTTTTCTGGGCTTCTGTACCTCCAGCAGTACTTTGGGCTGTGTGGTCGGAAAGAAATGGAAGGTTGTTTGAACACAAATCCACTTCTGAAGCCAAGGTCATCAATTCAGCTATAGATGCCATTAGGAGCTGGTTGTCAATACATACTGAATTCAAAGATGTTACTTTTGACTATACTTTTTTGAGAATGGCCTTTTTTGAGGACCTTCTTTTTTGTACAGTTACTCATTGTACACAGGACCAGTTATTAATACAATTATACTTCACTTTCATTAAAAAAAATCACCTAGAGCATGGTTTGAGAGATTGTGTAAAGCAAAGACTGTGGGTTACCATCAAAACAGTGCTGATCACACACTATTCTATAGAAAAAATGGAGAGAAGTTACCAACATTGATTGTATATGTGGATGACATGGTGGTGACAGGAAATGATTCAGTGGAGATCAAAAGACTCGAGGTTCTTGGCCTCAGAGTTTGAGATAAAGGACTTGGGACCTCTAAGGTACTTCCTAGGAATAGAGGTGGCCAGGTCTAGGGAAGGAGTTTATATTTGCCAAAGGAAGTATGCTTTGTACCTCCTAAAGGAGACAGGAAAATTAGGAAGCAGGCCTATTAAGACTCCCATAGAGCAAAACCATGGATTACAAGAGATGGATGAGGAGCTTTATCCGGACAAGGAAAAGATACCAATGACTTGTGGGTTAACGTCTCTTATCTCTCACTAGACCTGATATTGCTTATGATGTCTTGGGAATCACTGTCTAGACCTTTGAAGTTCTATTGTGATAACCAAGCTGCAATAAACATTGCTAATAACCCTGTCCAGCATGATAGGACCCAACACAGAGATTGACAGGCACTTTGTGGGAGAAAGGATAGTGTCAAGAGAGCTATGCATTCCTTATATGCCATCTTCAAGACAAGTTGATGTCTTCACGAAGGGTTTTGCTAGAACCAGATATGGAGAGCTGATTTGCAGGTTGGGCATGAAGGACATCCATGGTCAGCTTGAGGGGGAGTGTTGTGGGACTTTAACAAAATGGGCTTCGGCCCATTTATGTTATTAAGTTTTTATGTCTTGTTTGGCTTTAATGTTTTGTTCTCTTATTAAGTGTAAATGGGCCTGGGCCTTCTTATATCTTTAAGTTTTATTACCTCTTACTAATGGGGTGTAATTTTGACAACCCCATGTAATTTTGTTGCCCTAATATAAATAACATTATGAAGGGCTGGAAAGATGCTGCCACCCTATTCCATCAAAACCAGAATTCAAACAATTTCTAGAGGGAGCTAATTCCACTTTCTTTCTTTCTGTTTTTGGCAGCCATTAGATGATTATCAAAATTTGGAAACTGATGAGTTGTAAGGGGGCTACTACATCAATTTTGAACAAACTTGAGCTTAATTGGGTCTAGTAACTTTGGGATCCTTTTCTTGGGCACATTTGAAAGGAACAGGATTCGCTACAAGCAAAAACTCTGCAAACTGTGAAAGCATGAAAATCCAGCCATACATCGGGATTTGGGAACATCTTCCCATGATTTTAACATACATGTATGGGAGATATTTCCAATGTGCAGTTGGATGCTATGTGAGCAGAGTTTCTGCTTGCAGGAGATCCATACTCTATTTGAAATCCTCGAAGGGCTTACTGATTTTTAATCCATCTAGAAACTGTGAATTTGTGCACCTTGATTCAAACGTAATCTTAAAATATAATTATAATCATAGAATTTATAAGCATGTTTTTGTATCTTATATGTTCATCCATTTTCCAGGGAAGTATTCAGAAGGGGAATCCAGATATAACCTGTCTAATTCTGTCATAAAAGCAGCTACTAAGGTATAAGAAGATCTTATAATTTTCCAATACCAATTGTTCAAACTGATTTTTAGTCCTATTATAACATATGAAAAAGAAGTAACTAGTTCCATACCTATCTGTTTGTTGTATGGGAGTCTGATACTGATTTAGGTTAGAAGAAAAACAGCCTTTTGAGAAGAAAGGACTGTTTAGAAAGTTGCAAAAATTCAAAAGAAAGTAGCAGAAATCAGAGTTCAAGAGGAGAGAAGAAAAAGAAGAAGGTGGCGGCAACTTGGGTTCAGAGAGAGAGATTTTCGAACATAATCTCTTCTCTTACTCCCTTAATTCTATTTCATTAAGTTAAACTTTAGTAATTTACAGAGAAGCCCCTAGTTGGGCAGAAACTTAAAAAGACATAACATAAGAAAGAATAAAGCCCAGATTAAGGCCTATTACAGCAAAGAACATAAAAGATAAAAAAGGATAAACAGCCTATGGGCCATTTGGCCCATCTTCTCTACAAGGTTGAGGGTCACAGGTTGAAAGAATTATAGTTGACTCTAATCTTATACTACTAATAATATTCAGCTGCCTTTGTGTGTCTACCAAAGCCTGATGCTGATTCAGGTGAGACAGAAGGCTACAGGTTAGAGAATACAGGCATAATAATAAGAACCAACTGCCTTTGAATTATTTTGTTCTATTATAATAATTGAGTTGCACTGACATTGATATTGTTAGAATGATTTTTAAATTGTCAAGGCTGTTACTATAAGTACTTTTTTAAAAATTAAGTTAGTCATTAAATACTGATGATTTTATTAGTTAGCATAAAATTAGTCTTATTTATGAGCTAATTTATCATCATTTCATGTTTGAGTTAACCCCTTGATTAAATATAGTGGGAACCATTCTCCACTATCTTTTGGCCTTCTCTAAAAGCTCCCTATGTTTTAGAGAGAGAAAGCTCTTTCGTTATTCTATTTACATCAGTTTTTCTCTTCAAGAAAGAGAAGAATGAGAAAAGAGTATTCCCATTTGGTGAAAGAGAAGAAAGAAGATTTCATCCTCTTTGAGAGAAGAACAAGTTTAGAAATCAGCCTATTTTGCGGTATTTTCTATCGATCATATGGCTGTGGTTTTGGGTATCCTCCATCAAGCTTTTGGTGATTCTTGGTTCTTCATTGGTTGGTTTGAGGGGTTTTGCCATCTGTGATAGGTGAGATCTTTCCTTTGTCTTGCTCATTGAATACACCTTTTATTGGTAATTAGGTTTGTGTATCCAAGAGAAGATTGCTCTCTTGATATTGGTATTCTCTAGTTGTACTCAAAGAAGTTATAGCCCTTTCAGTGTTTTAAAAGCACAAGGCACCAAAAAAGCACAAGGGGCAATTTGCTTCCAAGGCACAAAGCGAGGTGTGTGCCTTTTTTGAAGCAAGACACAAAAATACAAAAAATGCCAAAAAATATATAAAACTGTCAAAAATTCAAAAAAAATAAAAAAATATTAAACATAATATTAATAAAAAAATATAAACTTAAGTTTTAAAATAAACGTTTTAAAAACCTTTTATCTAAATTAAAATACATAAACATAACATGTAAATCGTATTCAAATGAAAATTTAAAAATAAAATCAAACATATAAAACATTTTCAAGCATGTAAAACCCATAATCTCTTCTTTTCCTCAATTGCATTACTTCAAGTAGCTAATGTGATGTAAGACATTGCATTCCTGATTCTACGAGCCGCCTTTGTACCATGCCCTTCAAGGCAAGCCCAAACAAGTCCATGTTAGGGTCTTAAATTCTTAACTCTCACACAAAAAATAACGATTTTATAATTTTAATAGCCTTTTAAGAAGATATTTTATTAGGATGAATGAATGAACAACATTAGCAAAAAGGGCGTGGTCGGGATCAAAGCCACCGGCCTAGCTGCTAGGTTCAGAAAAACAAAAATGTGTAAAAATTTAAAAAAGTGCATGAGCTGAGGCACAAGGTGCATGTGCCTCAGGCACACGCCTAGGCACACCAGGCGTGCACCTTTTGAAAGTACTGTGCCTAGGACCTAAGCGAGGCACATACCCCAAAATGCACCTCACCTGTGCGCCTCCCTTTTAAATCAATGAACCCTTTATTTAAATTAAAGAGTAGAAGTTGTGGTTTTTCTCTCTACATTGGAGGGTTTTCCACATAGAAAATCTTAAAGGGCAGTCTAGTGCACAAGGATCCTGCCAATGCAGGGTCTGGGGAAGGACAGATGCATGCAGCCTTACCCCTGTACATAGAGAGGCTGTTTCCAAGATTTGAACCCTGGTCACCCAGGTTGCAATGGAGCAACCCAACCATAACGCCAAGATCCACCCTCTCCACATGTAAAAGTTTAGTGCCCCTTAATCTTGTTGTTTGCTTCACTGTATAGTAAATCTCTATTACTTAATTAGATAAAACGTATCGCATAGTTAAGATTCCATCAATCGTATAGGTAAAATTCATCTCCTAGGTAAGTCTATATTATACCTGCTGCACAATTTTTACCTATTGGGTTTCTCCTTGGTTTATTCATTGAGAAAGGTCAGTTTCCCAACACTACCTCCTCGCATGTCTGGTGAAATTGACATAGAAATGATTTGGGATTGTTACATTTCAGTTCTTGGTTTATGGAGTCGCCTTGTTCCTAGCTGTGTTCCTTCATCATTTTCTTGGTGCTCCTCTATTGCTAATCATATTCCATTGCTATATAAGTGTATTATATGCTTAATTCTTTTTTTGATCACACCATTTTATTGGTCTCTGGTACTACATTGTGCATGCTGAGTGACATTTTTTCTACTGTTCTTTTTTTGCAGGCATACCTAGAAATTGCAGAAACATATGGCCTTCCTCCTGTATCTCTTGCAATTGGTATGATTGCTTTTCTTTCTATGTAGATATTGATAGGGACTCCCGTTGCTTTAGCAATCACCTTGGTCTCTCTGTTCTACGAAGTCTTCTGTTTCACTCGCATTTCCAATATATTCAAGATATGGAAATGATTAAATACTTATGCATTTCTTTGTAAGTGAATGCAACATTTGGTAATGTTCTAGGAGCGAAAAGTAGTTGTTCCTTGAGCATCAGTAAGTGTTTTAATTGAATGTTACCAAACATTACCAAAATGTCCATTGATTTTTCACGAAAGAAATCTAGAAAACTTCCTCCAAATTTACATACTGGAAAGTTGGCAAGGCTGACTGGCTAAAATTGGAGGGTCCAATATCTGGGGGTGTCAACTAGCTGGGTTTAGTATGTGTTGGTGTTGGGCTTAAAGCTCAACTCGAAATGACTATACCCCAACCCAAACTTGCCCTGCCCCAACCTATCAAAAAAAAAAAAAAAAAGAAAAGAAAAGAAAAGAAAAACTTTCCCTGCCCCACCATGTGAATAGAATGGGCCTGGATGTCTGAGTGTCAGGTATGAAACATGACAAGGCCAGGTGAGTTAAAAGCCAAAATTTTGAATAAAATTAGAAAAAATAAAATAACAGGGAAAGAGATTAGAAACACTTTGATGGGTTGAATAAAATTAAAACACGTTAAATGTTTATGGTATGGCAATCTAGGAATAGTGTTAGTGTACACCATGGTTTACCTGGCTAACCCGCGTTGTTGTAGACTTTTGTGATTAGATGCGACTAATGGAGGTTCTAGAAACTAAGTTGGCTAGGCATGTTATTTTCCATTTTTCCTATGGTCATTTTCTGTACTGGATTGATAAATGTTGACATGGCTTTTGGCTAACAGAATTACATAGGGTTTGGCAAGTTTTTTGAGATCTTCTAGTAGTCCTGACAGTAAAAAGACGCATTGAGCTTTTGTATGAAAGTCTGAGTAGCCTGAAGCTAGTTTGGCTACTGCAAGTTTTTTTGTGTGTTTTTCTTTTTGCATGAGAATAAAGTGAGAAAAACGCGAAAAGTTCCATTTTGAGCTTCTCGAAATCAGTCTGAAATAGGCTTTTCGCATCTTTTCGATGGACCAACTTTTGGTGGCTAAATCTGTTATGAACCAAACAGAAAAAGACTGCGGCGCAATCTGCCCAACTTATAAACAGCCGAAAGACCGTGTGGAAAGACACACCAAATGGGGCCATAATAGGTAGGCCTGTAAACGGTATTCGAAACTCCAAATTCGAATCCGAGATTTGGCACAATCGAATCGAATTCGGATTATTCGAATCGGATATTCTGTCGAATTCAAATACTTTTTTTTTTACAGATTAAATTATCAGATTGAATTCGGATATGCATTGATCCGATCCAATAAATATCCGAACCGATTATATATATATATCACTAAAAAGAAGGCCAAAAAAATGAAAAAACAGTTTTAGAAATTAGAATTGAGAAATGACTAATTTCTCAATGAGAACATTCGAACTGTCAAACCTTGCCTCTCTCCAGTCTCCATCTCCTTTCAAGTTTCAAAATTCAAACCCTAACCCTAACCCTCCATCCCTCCCTTCGCCGTCGTTGGATGCCGCTCGAGCAACCACCATCGCCGGCCACTGCCTTTCATCCTCCGTGATTTCGCTTCTCCTCGGTCCTCTCATCGGTCGTCTCTCATCTTCTCCTCTATCTCTCACTCTCTCAGTCCACTCACTGACTCAACCTCGCCGCCACCCAAGCAACCACCATCATCGGCCACCTCCCTCCATCCTCCACGGCTCTGCCTCTCCTTTGTCTCTCTCATCAATCATCTCTCATATTCTCCTCTATCTCTCACTCTCTTAGTCCACTCACAGACTCAACGTTGCCGCCGCTCGAGCAACCACCATCACTAGTTATTGCCCCTCATCGTTCGCATCTCCGCCTCTCCTCAATCCTCTATCACTCACTCTCTTAGTCCACTCACTGACTCATCATCGCCGGTCGCCGCCGCCCAAACAACCACCATCACTGATGGCAATGTCAGTGATAGCGATGGTCGAATTCGAATGGAATCAAATATTCGATTTAATAATCGAATTCGAATTCGAATTGAAGCATTCAATACCCATCGGATATCGAATCAAATTCGAATATTATTCTTTATAATTGGTTTTGAATTCGAATCTAGCCTGATTCCATTCGAAATCGATCCATTTACTGGCCTATTAATAGGTAGAACGGATATTGCACAAAGGCCCATTTGTTTTTCGGGTAAGTTGGTCAAGTGGGTAGTTGACCACAATTCCCACATTCATATGCTGCTATAATAGTGGGTTTCACAACAGTATGTAAATTTTCTGTAGAATATCAGTTATCCAGCTAACTGATACCCTCCTACAGGGTGGGTAAATTGCTTACCCTCCTGTTGATAATGTTCTCACTCTCGCCTCTCTATTTACCGAGTGAGTTACATTGCACAATAACCTTTGAAACTAAATTTATTTAAACAATTTTTGTTTGGAAAACACTATAAATTCACTTACCCAGCTAAGATAAAAAGTATAAAACGAATGAGGCAGCTATTATGTAATATTGTAATCCTCCTGAATATTGTTTTTGTCTGCATTTCTACAAGATGTACTGCCACCAGTTAGATGTTAGATGTGGCGTCCCGTGCTAGTGGCCCATCTTGATGTTTTAGTAGTTATCTCTTATCTGTCATAATTTCGACTTGTTAATGTATTTTTAACCATTAACCTATTTCATCTATGCAGCCTTTGTACTGAGACACCCTCTTGTTGCCAGTGCTGTTTTTGGCGCAACCAAGCCATGGCAGCTGAGAGAGGTCCTACATGCTTGCCAGGTGGAGCTGCCTCCAGAAATAGTTAAAGCAATCGACAAGGTTCATGCCAGGTATCCCAATCCCTGCCCCTGATGGAAGGAAACCCAACAACTCTTTGGGCTCAGTTTGGGAATAGTGCAAATACAGATGTTGTCATGTTGTATAGTTGTATTTGCACTCTACCCAAATGAGGTCCTAACTTCTCTCCTCAAAATGGGCTAGTCCTTCTGTTTCATTCACCTGTGTACATCAGGAATCCCATTTGGGCCAAACCCAATTGGTGAATTAAAGGGAGGAGAGGATCCGTAGCATTACCGTGTCCACCATGGGTAGCAGTCGCTACTCACTACTCGTTAGTCAGGCAACCAAATCAATGCCAAAAACGACTACTTCTTACAAATGGGGACCGCCTATACGCAACCCATTACCCATCTTAATTTTTCATTGGGAGTGAGTGGTTGGGCTGTACGATGCTATTGTAAACAGAAACGGTACAGTACAGGGGCAGGAAGCTCACATTACTTGACATTTATCAAACAAACAAGATTGATTGGCACTTGGCGTAATTGGGTCTGTGTTGGAAAGTTTTTGCGCAATTGGGTTTGGGTGGACTTTAGGTTGGGATGCAGATGGAGATGCAGTGCACCCAGTTTTAAATGTTGCTTCATTTTCATGTTTTTCCAAATTTAATTCATGATGGCTGGGTCCAGTTGTCATACTATATTCTTTATTTTTGTTGTCGTCCAGCTGGCATATTCTATCGGAGGAGATATGATGTGCTCTCGGTATATGACTGCATCTGTGTGTAATCTGTAATGTGCTCTCGGTATATTCTGTGTCATACTATATTCTTTATTTTTGTTGTCGTCCAGTATAAATCAGATCTGTTGCTGGTTGAGACCTGTTGAGGAGTTGGGATTTCCTGCCAGCAAAACACATTCCAACAACCTACTAACATGATCTGGCACTGCACATCTCACCTTGAGATGTGGGTCCATCATGGTTTTCAAAACTGGACCGGACCAGATGGTCGGACTGGAAAAACCAGGAACCGGTTACCTTCATTTTACCCTATAACCGTTTTTTTGGCCAAAAAACCATTGATTTGGTCAGCAAACTGTTGATCCAGGCGGTCGAACCATTTGAACCGTCCAATAGTTTTTGGTTGTATTTTATTTTTTTATTTTTTATTTCTTTTGTCAGAATGGGCTGTCTGTTTGGTTCAAGCAGTCAGACCGTTCAACCTGGGAACCAGACCCTTGAATGGTTCATTGTTTGGTTCGGTTTTAAAAATCTTAGGATCCACCATAAAAGTGTGACCAGCCATGTATGAGATGTTCGGTGTCAGATGATGTTGGAAGAATGTTGGAATGTATTTTGTTGACAGGTGATCCGGACTCTCTGCTGAGGGCGGGAATTCAGGTCCAGGCCATTCAACTTTATACCGTTTTAGATGAATTGGATCTACTCACAGAATGCACATCACACGGACCTCACAATCCCATCCCACCATGCATTAGTAACATCTCCCAATGAATAATAACACAGAGTACGGGAAATGTTTTCAATATATGGTGAGATAGAGCTGTGAGGTCCGTGTGAGATGCGCTCTGTAGATGTGGATTCGTTTTGGATTCAGGCTTTGGGCTGGGCCCTGGCAAAAGCTAAGCCCTAACTCAACCCGAACGGACCTTGTCTCACGACTCACGTCACCCCATGATGTAGGAAGCAAACAAAAGTTGACTTGTATGTAAAATTGACCCTCTGGTGCCAACTTGCTAATGATATGCGTAATGCGCCACTTAAAATTACCTGTTGTTTTTTTAATCCCATGACAATCCAATTGGTAGTTGCCCTAGAAAGTCAAAACTGCGAGACCGGATCTGCTCTCACATTTGGCGTCTCACAGCACATCCTATCATTTATTGGAAATATCTTTCGTTTTTATTAATTATTATTTACCGGAGATGTTATCAATGCACGGTGGATGTACATGTGAGGGGCTCATTTGTGAGGAGCGGATGCCGTCACCAAAACTGCTGTCCATCAATTACCTCGTCAAAGCCTGATTCCTCTCTCTCTCTCAAGTTTTAACAAAAGCATCAATGACCCCAAAGACTCCTAGCCTACCTAGTCTCCTGAATTTCGACTTCCTCCCTGTTCCTACTAAATGTAAATGTACAATTACAATCTGAACACTTTTTCAGTCAACCTTTTATTCCTCTTTTGAGTGGTTAGGCATCAAATCTGGGATTCTAGACATTCAAAACTAGGTCAATGTTCAATGTCAATGGCCTTTGACTAAGCAAAATAAATTTCGAGTTTTGAGTGTTAGACTGAGTGCCCAGGTGTTACGGTTCAGCACAGGCTTAGCCTTGCCTACGCTTGGCAGGCTTACGTTARGGACAWTCCCGTCATTTTCGCCTGTAAGATTTTTGGGAGAACTGATGTCATCTTCAGGCAGACCACCAGAAGCTTAACGTACTCTTTGAGGAGGGGTGGTCGACCTCCT